CTCTCCCCCCAGTCCCCTCCATGCTCCCCCACCCTGTCTCTGCCAGTGGAGTTAATTAATGCCCCTGGGAGCAGCCCTTGGCCCAAGATTGGCAGGAGCTAGAGTGTTTGTCTCCTCCGATGGGCAACACTGTGTCTGTGACGCAGTGTCCCGAAGGTCCCCAGCGGGGTTGAGCCCACCCGGTATCAGCTGCCTCCCTTCCCCATTTCTGGTTCCTACCCGCTGCTGGTGCTTCCGGGTGTCACCTCCCAAAGAAAACACTTGCGGGCTTCTTGGCCCAACAGTGGGTGAATCTGTTGGTGACTCTGGATGAGTGCCACGCGCTGTATATGTTACCTGTGTTTATATGTGTTTGAACACGGGTGTGTGTATAGACCTTGTGTATCAGTGCATGCAGGTGCACGCGTAGACGTGTACATGCGCGAGTATACACGTAATTGATTTTGTATTCCTTTACGTGAGGGAGCCGCTTCAAGAATGCGTGGCGCGCGAGCGAGGGAGGAACTCAGGAGGGTTGCAGTTAGGTGGGGTGAGTTGTGGGGAGGTGATGGGGGAGATGAGGAGGAACTCTGATTATTTCAACCTTGAAAACTCATTTCAATTACAATTTACAACCTGCAGACAAAGGCTGCATTCACCGTAGTAACCATCGCTGCAGGGTTTTGACGGAGAAAATCCTCTCCCGATGCTTTCCCGGCTGGCTGTCACCCGTGGCAGAGCCAAACGCATCTCTGGCTCACTGTACCCGGGGACACAATTAGGACATCTTCAGACTGTTGCTGCTGTCATTGCCACCATGTGTCTGGGATTTGTCTCTTCCGATAGCTCTCAGAAATGTGTGTCATGCTTCCTTCTGGAACTGCCTGGGCCTGGGGGTCCCGCCCATCCGTGAGGGGATTTCCCGACTCCCCCTTCTCTCCACGGCCACCACCTCCTCTAGCCCTGGAGACAGGGATCCTTGACCCCTGGGCCCCAGAGGGAGGGAAGGAGGCCTCTTCCCAGGGACTGGATGGAGGGAGAAGAAGGGGAGGCACTGTTCAGGGTGGAGGAAACTCCTATGGAGCTAGAGAGATCCAGGTTCAAATCCCAGCTCTGCCGCTTACCAGCCAGGCCAGTCCCCAGGTGTGTATGCCCATGTGCTAGTTACCAGGATTCCTGTAAGATTCTGGATACATCGCTTGACCACTTGCAAGCCTCAGTTACGTCCTCTGTGAGGGGGCCAGTTCCGCCTGCCTCCCTCGAGGAAGAGAAAATGCCAGGCGTGTGAAGGCTCTCGGTGAGCACCAGCCATGCCGTAGGGTTATTTGCTGAGGAATCAGGAGGTGTGCGGGGAGCCGTGCTGGTTATGGGCACAGCGTCAAACATTCAGGACAGAGCACTTGTCCTTGTTTAACTTGTGTTTATGATTCCTGTCCACCCCCTGCCCCCAGCACTGTGAGCCACTTAGGCTCTGTCATTGTTGCTTCCTGAGGAGCTCAGGAGAAGGGCCCTTGGGGTTCGAGAGGTGTCGTAGAGGGTGCGCTCAAGACCTGGTGTACCCTTGTGAATAAAGGTCCTTGCCGGACCTGTTTTCTCATCTGTAATTGGGGCTGGATTTGAGATAAAAGTCAAGGATGTGACCAAAGTGTGTGGAGAAGTCTCTGGAAGTGCATGGCTGGCCCTTTGACAACTCTGGGGTGGAGATTCTGGAGGAGCAGCACTGATGGGCTCCTGAGAGCCCACAGGATCCCAGACCCCTTCCCGCAGAAGCTTCCCCAGGCAGAGGCGGACTCTCCTGGGGAGGGTCTTCCCCAGTCTGGTGTCCGTGCAGGTGGCTCGTGATCCCAGCGAGAGCACTTGGTCCTGGACCCAAGAGGCCCAGGAATGGATACTTCATTCCTCCCCTGCCCCAGTGAGGAGGGACCCCTGGAGGAGGAGAGAGGAGAGGCTGAGGGTAGCTCAGGTGGGGAGGTGCAGCCGGGGTCCCTCAGCCCAGTGTGTCCTTGGCTTTGGCAGAGAGCTGCCTGCTCTCTGCAGCGGCCACAGCCTCCCCTCCATCGTGGTTGATAATTCAGTCTCTCACCCATAAGAAATGAGGGTGTGATGGGAGTGCGGGTTTGTTGAGTGGTGTTTTATGTTTTCCATTCCTCAGGCCGAGGGGAGCAGGACCTGGGGCTGGGTGGGGTCCAGGGCTGGGGCTTTCCATGCAACCCTGCCCCAGCCCCCTCCCTCCATTGCCCTTTCGGGACAATCGCTGGAGAATTTGTCTTTCGTGTGTATTCCTGTCTGTTTGTGCCTTGGCCTAGAAATAATGCCGTCTATTAGCAAAACTCTGCTGGCCCAGGAGCTCCGAGGCAGGGATGGCCTTACACCTCTTTGTGTCCTCCGGTGTTGGGCAAACCTCTGTAGCACTTGGCAGAACACCAGGCCTCTCTTTAGGTCTTGTGAGTATTAACCTGCTAATTCTCATAGGGACCCTATCCTGACCCTCTGAGGTAAGTACCATCATTATCCTCATTTTGCAGATGAGGGAACTGAAGTCTGAGAGCTAGGGTTCTAGCCCAGATGGTCTGGACTTATGCAGGGCAGTGACAGTGGATAGTGAGGGCCTTAGCTGACCAGGAGAGAGCCAGGGAGGCAGCTTCGAGGTCCACCCTGCCCCCAGTCCTGAGGCCACACGGTAGGAGCTGTGGGCCTGTCAGGACTGAACGGTGTCCCCCGAGTCAACTGGGCATCTGCCCTCAAACTGTCCAGTCTGAGTCCTGGTGACTCTTGATCTCTGACCCTGTGGTTGGGGTAACTGGAATCAGGTTCTGCCCTTGGTCACAGGGTCATGGTGGCTGAGGCAGGGATATGAAATGTGCCACCAGCTCTGTGGGAGCCCTGGGCAGGTAGGGCACAGTGACCGTCTACTGGCTAAAAACGCAGGAACCCAAGGGGTTAGCTGGGGACTCCTGAGGCCTCAGGTCGAATACAGTCTGGAATGGGGGGGGGCAGGGAGAGGGGCTATAGCTGGGGACACTCATCTTATCATCAAGAGGCCTGGCTCACTGGCCATGTGACCTGGGCCTTTCCTCTCAAGGCCTCAGTTTTCTCATCTGTAAAATGACAGAATTGGAGCAGACGACCCCTTTGGTCCTGCCATTCCTAGCATTGGGATCCCATGATTTCTGTCATCCACTCAGCAGGTGGGGAGTATCAGCCCTGAGCTAGGCTGAGGATGGGGTGGGGTCCCAGCCACCTGGTCCGGCCAATTGAGGGGACACAGAAGCGCAGCCCGGTCATCCCCACATCCTGGTGGGGCAGCGACCGTCCTCCGGGTGGGAGGGGATTAGATGGTGGAGAGCCCCCGGGGACAGCAGTGGGTTTCTCTGTACCCTGTGTCTGTCTCTGAGGTGTCCAAGGTGGAGGGATGGGCGTGGGGACCCCTGGAGTTCCCAGGGGAGCAGGGCCCGGCGCTGCCCCAGCCCTACCTGGCCCCCCGCACAATAGACATGGGAGGCCCAAGCTGTGGCCCGCGGGGCTAGGCTGGGGTGCAGCCACTTCTGCCCCTGGGGAATCACCTCTGCAAGTGATGCCCATGGGAGGCCCGCTAGCAGGGAGGCAGGGGTGTATGTGGCAGGGGATGGGAGGCGTGGCTTGCGAGGGTTAATGTCTCTGTCCTGGTCTCCAGGGAGGAAGTCTCAGGCAGTGATGCGGCCGGGGCTGTGGCCTCAGGAGCGGAAGCCAGCCTTCTCTAGCATTCTGCCCATCCCCTCCCTGCCTCCACTCTGCATCCTCCAGCCCCCTCCTCTCCCCTCCCTGCTTTCCTGTCCCCCTGATGCCGCTCTTACTATCTGTCAGGCCGAGAGTGGTGCGCAGGCTTGGAGCTGGAGTAACTGAGTTCAGGTTCAGCACTTTGTGGTTCTGGGACATTGCTGGGCTTTCCTGTGGGGAACCATGGGGACAATTACTCACCTCATAGCCCCCTTGTGAGAATTCGGGGAGTTATTATGCATAAAGAGCTTAGAACAATGCCTAGCACAGAGCAGATGCTCACTAGAAGTGATTCGGATCGTCTGATTGTTACTCTGGCCCAGGCTGGGAAGCGCCTCCTCCTCCAGAAAGCCTTCTTGGCCTGCTCTGGCCTAAGGTCCTCTGTTGCCCACCTCAGAACCCCTCCGCCCCCCATTCTGACAATTTAGCACAGTGATAATGTGGATCAGTCACCTACTCAGTGCCAAGTGTTTTCCGTGCCTCATCTCATATAAGCCTCTGTGGGGCAGGATTATGATCCCCTTTGTACTGAAAGGACACTGAAGCCTCAGGCAGCCAAGGAGCTTGCACAGGGCCCAGGGCCTAGGGGGTGAGGATGGGAGGCCGGACCCCTAAGGCCACGGTGCCCTAGGGAGGGATGATGGCGACTTCTGGTGTCTGGGGCCACTGGAAACCATCGAGGGGGCACCAGGTGGCCTGGGTCCCGAACCCTGAGGGATCCGTAGCCAGGCTCTCATGTTTCCTGGGCTTCAGTTTTCCCATCTGTAGCCTGTGCCGGGGGCAGCGTCCCCTGGCTGGGGTGGCTGTCCATGGGTGAGCTGCCCTCACTGTCCTAGCTCTTGTTCCGGCGATCCCCAGCCTGGGCGAGGGCCAGCCGCTGGCGTGATTAGTCTAGGCCAGGCTGGGGGACGTCAGGCAGGCTCCGCAGCCACAGGGAGACCCCCTGGCTGACTGCCTTCTGAGGGCGATCAGGACGTGCGGGCCTGTCCTGGCTGTCCTGGGGCGTCAGGGCGCACGGTCTGGCAGTAGGGTGGCGAGGGCAGTGGACCCTCCCCTTCGCTTTTTGGGATCGTCCCCCAGGCGCTTCCATAAGACCATCTCTTGGGTGATAGAGCAAGCGCTGGGCTAGGAGCCAGGAGGCCTAGGTGTGCAGGGAAGGGCTGCGTCACCTCTGTTGGCCCCGGGGAGCCGCTCTGGTTCCCACCACGTGGTCTGTGAGGATGCTGGGCCTCACGGACGCCCCCACCCTGGCTGTCCCGTTGCAGACCGAGAGCGCATTGGGCAGGACTCGGCATATGAGCAGGAGGGGAAGGTGCAGTTTGTGATTGATGCTGTGTATGCCATGGGCCACGCGCTGCACGCCATGCACCGTGACCTGTGTCCGGGCCGCGTGGGGCTCTGCCCACGCATGGATCCTGTGGACGGCACCCAGCTGCTCAAGTACATCCGCAACGTCAACTTCTCAGGTGGGTGTCCTGGGCCATGCAGCCAGGGGAAGGGCTCCCAGGGTTCTGTGGGGGTAGGAGAGTGGCGGGGTGGGGGGTGTCTCCTCAGATGTTTCCAGGGGGTGTCACCTCTCAAGATGTTCCACACAGGGGCCTCCCCAGAGGTGTCTCTGCCCTAGGCTCGTGATCCTCCCTGCTTCTTAGTAAAAGCTCAGCCAAGACACTGAGTGCGTAACACTCCCCGGCCCCTACAGGCATCGCCGGGAACCCCGTGACCTTCAATGAGAATGGAGATGCCCCCGGGCGCTACGACATTTACCAGTACCAGTTGCGCAATGGCTCAGCTGAGTACAAGGTCATCGGCTCCTGGACCGACCACCTACACCTCAGAGTAAGCGCCTGGCAAGGGCAGGGAGGGGCCCCAGGAGGGAAGAGCAGGGGGAGGCAGCCACTGTGGAGCCCCGACCAGTCCTGACCCTGGGGTTTGCTGCTACCAAGTGGGGACTTCCTTCTGTGCCCCTTTCCAGGCCTCAGAGGGCCCTGAGTGCCACCCCAGCCTGAAGTGGAGGAACAGGACAGCTGGACTTCTGGTGGCTGGATCCCTGTCCTTTCCCTTGGCCTCGGGCCGTCCTGCCTTCCACCTGCTGGCAGAGAAAGACCCCGGAGTGAAATGGCTCAAGGGCTGGGCTGGTGTGGGGAAGGGAGATGAGGAGGGGGAGGGCTGCGTTGGGACAAAGGAGGACAGTGGCGTAAGGCAGAGGGCGAAGTCAGATGGGGTTTCTGGTGGCGGGTAGAAAGCTGTTTGAGAGCATTTCCTACGGCCATCATACTGCACTAGAAGGTCGTCATTTTTCTGGGTGTTATGGGCGACTGGGGGTGGGGGTCTTCTCCTGGGTCCTCCTAGATACATTTTCCCGGCTCGTGATTGTCCCAGGGATTTGGTGGCTTTCCCCCTCTGGCCTTCAGTGTACCTGGCTGAGAATGGAGCCATGTTTTTGGAGAGAGAGGACTTGTGGTTCATCCCCCAAGGAAATGCCTGTAGACTTGGCCCCTCCCTTGCAGGATGAGGGGTGAGACGTGCTCAGGGTGGGCACGGTGTGACAGCCAGATGGACCAGAGAGGCGCAGGAAGCCCATGTCTGGCCTCAGCTATCTTTGCACCAGACCCTGGGCAAGTTGCATCGTGCCCCTGCTGTCCCCTCTTGTAAGAATCTTCCAGCGATGAGCCCCTTGAGCTCCTCAAAGCACTTTCTGCCTGTGATTCCATTTAGCTCTGACAATCTTCTAAGCCAGAGGAAATATCTCTGGAAACCCAGCCTGAGGGATGTTCCAAAGGCCACACAGCAG